GTCCGTGACCGAGGGACAAGATTTAATAATGCATATTGTTCGTAGATTTTATGCATGTAAGCAAAGATTTGACGTACTATATATTTGTTTTGTTTTTTGAAGCTAGATGGCCGACCCGAGAAACATGGATGAGGAGGAGTTGATGATGAATTTGATCAACACTGGCACTCAAGTTGCCGGCGATGATGGTGCTAAAAATAACGTGCAAGAGGATGCAGATGATGGGAGTCAGTACTTAGCTCTTGAACAAAATGAGCAACAACATATTGGCCAAGTATATATTTTTTATTATTAGCTATATATATTATCATATGTCTTATGTGTGCTCATGACATTAAAAATAATGTTTATGTTTTGTAGCCCTCTGGATCGACATCAACAACTACAACGAAGAGTAAAAATGTTCGAGGTCCCAAAAAGCCATTGGAGGGCCGCTTCATCATCTCGGAGTTCAATATGGATACAGGAGAACAGGGGGCCGAATAAAATGAAATTTGTGCACCACTGTGGTTACCTTGTACGGGACCGGCTCCCGATTAGTACCCATGAATGGAAGAAGAAGACCAATGCTCCTCATATCAGTTTTGTCTCCGATCGTGACAAGACGTTAATTTGGAAAGATGTCTTGGTACATTTCACGCTCCAAACAGATGGTTATGATGATATAATTGATGGTGATGAATTGAAGGAGCGAGTTAGGGATTGGGCAATGAAGAAGATGGCCACCCAGTTTCAGACTTGGAAGAAACACCTATACACGACGTATGTCAAGAAGAACATAGCACCAGATTTTCTTGTCCCAGCCCGATCTCAAAGCGAGAGGCCCTATTGGGATGAGTTTGTACAATACAAGACTCGAAAAGAGGGTGTGAGTCGGGTGATAAAGAACCAACGTAATGCCCAATGTAAGACATACCACCATAACTTGGGATTAGGTGGCTACCCGACCGCCATTAAGAAGTGGAACAAAATGGAAGCGACCTTCTTGCCAAGGGTATCGCACTGTAATCACTCGAGTGGGGAGAACATGCAAAGAATTGGTTTTTCGCTCATGGGGAACACTAGACCAGAGAGAGGTGGAAGTGCGTTTATGGCGCAAGACCGCAAGAAGCAAAGCAGAAGATTGTTTTATGCTCGAGAGCTATCGCTAGTGGTGCGTCAGGCTCAACAGAGAGAAGGATGAGTGACATACATACGCCATCGGGACTATTAAACATGGTGGCGAACTAGAGGCAAAGGAAGTGTCTCGTGGGAGCATGGATTCCCTCAGATGCACCTTTCTCTGAGAAGCCGCCAGAGAAAGAAAGGAAGAAGAGGCACAATGCGCTCCAGAGGTTGGAGGAAGCGGTGCGTGAAGCACAGAGCGGGAAAAAAAACCTTGAAGCGAGAATGCGGGAGGAAATCGGAAGGCAAGTGTAAATAGCAGTGAGTGCAAGCAAGCAGGCATCAGAGCTAGGAATCAACATTAGCCAATCTGTTTAGTTGAAAAGCAAACAAGCGCTTCCACGGAGATACCAAATCAAGGGGACACAGGACTACGCTTCCCACATGGATGATGTCACTTGAACCTTGTACAACGTGTGAGCTACACACATTACAAGGGGAATTCCACAATCAAGGTGGCTATCGGTCTTGTTAATCCTATCGACCGAACCAAGACACCAAGGATTCATGGGAATATAATCCAAGAAGAATATGCTACCATCTCGGTAGATAAAGCTGAAAAAGGTTTTAGTGATTTACCTCTTGACATTCCTGGAGGTGATGGCGAGAAGACTTTAGGAGAAGCGGAGAAGACATTCATTCTATGGCGCAAGCGCTACATTATCATTCCAGGGATGTCGGCTCCACCTCCTCCTGAACTACCTCACCATAGGTACGTGCGGATGAAAACACTACATCATTAATTTGTATTGGCTTAAATAATTAACAATCTGCTCATAATAATATGTCATTCCTTTTTTTATAGCAGATCCTCCCCCAACCTAAATCCAATTATTCAATCGCCAGATCATCATAGTGCTCTGTACGATGACATTGTGTTGGAAGGCGAGGATGCATCCACACCATCTCGAAGGAGGTCTCCAACGCCGCAGCCGCCACCTCCAAGGAGGTCTCCAACGCCTCCCCCACCCCCGCCTACCAAGAAGCCTAGCAAGAGGTCAGCCCCTCAAATGAAGAACCAGTCCCCGCCTGCAAAGAAAGCCACCGTGAAACCAAGGGCTATTCCCAAAATAATATCTGAAGAGAAGAAAGAAGGAACTGATGCATATAAAAAAGATATGTCTAGATTCTATGACAAACTTAAAAAGAATCAAGAAGCAAGGAGAAACCCGAAGAAATCGTACTTCTTCGTAGCTCCAGATATTCTACGAAAAAGGGTGGCTTCTTACCAAAGAACAACAACAGTGAGGAATCTCGTAAGCCGTCCAAATCAACGTTATCGGACTATGACCGCACTCTCCCCAAGTCAATTGAGGCGGCACAGAAAAAGAAGCGGGCAGGGAAAGGAGTTGCCCAACTCGGACAACAAGCGCACCAATCAGTCCCCCCGCTAGTTGTTGGTAATGAATATGGTTCGAATTTAGGATTAATGCATCAAGCAAACATACCTCCGGATGTCGATTTGGATCACCTTGGTGAATTTATTGATGAGACCGGTCTCGACCTTTACCAGATGTTTGGTGATGGAAACATTGAGAGTGCGGTGAGGTTGATATTTGGAAGAAAAAATTTGTACTAGGCCGTAGTCTATACATCCCTCAAGCCTTATCTCGATCTGGGGATGCAAATGTACCCTTCTAAACAAGTGGTACATGCAAAGCGTCTACCGTGGAGACTTCTGCGTTGGTGTCGAAATTAGAGACGAACATTGGTTCCGTGGGCGATGATGTTATGTATGTTGACTTTGCGAAATTTCATCAACTATGCCAACCGACCTCTCTGGACAAAGTTATCATTAGTCGCTATTGCTGTAAGTAATAATTCTTTCGATATATTATTAAACTCATCATATGTGTGTATATGCATATAAATTATCCTAACAAGTACTATATATATGTAGATTTACAATGACAGAGCTCAGAAAGGAAGGCTGCAATGAAATTGGTTTTGTTGATCCCCATATAATATTCAAAGACCCAATTACTCCAAAGACTAATTGGAAGTCTGAGTCAGAGAGTAACATCATGAACTTCTTAGTGAACCAACGCCACAAGAAGGATATACTCTTTCCCTATAACTTCAAGTGAGTGTTAATAATATCGATCATCCTTAATGGCTCATATGTTGATTCTAGTTAATTAATGAGTGTTATGCGTTATATCATATAAACACATGCAGCAATCACTGGATATTGATGGACATCGATCTGGTGAAAAGTCACTTGATAATCTATGACTCGATGAGAAAACCACAACAAGACTACCAAGATATGATAGATATTATCTAGAGGTAATTTCGGGATCTCTAGCAACTATATATACATACAAACATGATGATTAACTATATCTGATGATGTGGCAAATTTTTTATTGGGCAGTGTTTGGAAAATCTTTATTGAGAAGCAACACATGGAAAAATGCAAAGCGCCACTGAATGTAATCCCTTTGAAAGTAAGTCCCCTGAATCGCATCATCTTTATTAATTAAACATATAGCTTTCACCGGATCACCAGATTGGATGACAAATCTTTTCTCGTAAAGTGGTGTCTGAGGCAGGAACAGGGGAACAACTACCGTGGTTACTATGTTTGCAAGTTTATCAAGGTGGTCTCCCAAAGAACTCCTACAGAGAGACTCAAAGTACGTTAAAAATACACTATATATTCATTTAATTATTATTATTGATTGTGTTACTATGTCTTTATATATATATATATATATATATGTACATATATTAATTTATTTTCCTTTAATTCAAACCTGTAGACTCGATGGTTGGAGGAAAAGATCATACGGCAAGACCAAATCAAAGCAATTCAAGAGTCTATAGCCGGATTTTTTAATGAGCAGGTCATTGATTCCAAGGGCGAGTTCTACTTCGACCCAACACTGCCATGGAAGCCAAGCTAGAGGATGAGAGAAAACTTGTTATATCACAACAACTGTAATGCAATCTTTTTGTAATATATGCACATGAAATAATATAATATAAAATACACATATGCATGCATGCATGTAAATATATATATGATGCATGCATGCATATATATATATATATATATTTTTTTTTTCTATGCTTGAATTGTGTGATTTAATGCATTCATTGTGCTTGAACCGAAACATACTATACGCGCGTATAAATGTATAATTAGCAGCGTACAATACGACTTCAAAAACAAAAAAATGAAAAGAAAAGAAAAAAGAAAAAAACCTTTAGTCCCGGTTCGTATTACCAACCGGGACTAAAGGCGCCGGCCATCGTGGCATGTCAGGAGGCACCTTTAGTCCCGATTCCTGACCCGGGACTAAAGGACCCCCCTTTAGTCCCAGATGCTTGCTCCCGGGTGGGGAACCGGGACTAGAGGGGGTTCCCCACCGGGAGTAAAGCTCGGTTCTCTACCAGTGTAGCCGGGACAAAATGTCGATCTTTAGTCCCGGTTATAGCCTCTAACTGGGACTAAAGGTTTGCCTGCCGAGCCAGCAGCGTTGGGAAGCGACCTTTACTCCTGGTTCGAGGGTATAGTCGGGATTAAATCTCGTTTACTCCCGGGATCAAAAAATGCGGGATTAACTCCAAAATGGTGCCGAGACAAAAGGTCTGTTTTCTACTAGTGAACTCGATAATAAAGGATACATTACACAATACACATGCGATCCTTATACGATAATACATGTTCAACGATGAATAGCACAACTCTTTTCTTCCATGATAACCAGGTAGCAGCGATGGATGTAAATAAATAAAAATAAGCGGAAGTTATTGTTCTTATCGGGGAAAAAACTGCAGACTGATGATATGGGCGCGATCTAGCCGATGACAGGAGTCCAGCACTCCAGCTAGCCGACGACAGGAGTCTTGACGACGACGTTGCCGGAGTCGAAGATGATGATGACGCGCTTGGGGTCATAGTCCGTCGGCAGCGGGGTGGTGTCACTGTAGAAGGCAGTCGACACGTCGGGCCTGTCGCTGGCGATCTTGAACGACGCGTTCAGCGTCACCCAGCCCACCACCTCCGGCCACGACGTCTTCTGCTCATCCCCTCCGCCGTCAGCTGACGCCATCGCCCTCCCCATTTCTATTACTAGCTAGCTGCTTGAAGAGCTCCTTCAGTTCGATCTGATGTTGGATCGATTGGCACTCTACTGGAACTCAATAACACCCTGGAGTACATGAGCTACGCGGCTGATCTCCATCGTATTTATAGTATTACAGGCCGATTGTTAGTGGACACAATGCAAGTAACAATCAATTCCATACGCATGTGATGTGAGATGCATCATTGCGTGCATCGCCCGCGTTTGGTCGCATGCGCATGCACTCCTCGTCTCTCCACGTACGCACCTTGTTGTCCACATGCCTCCTGCCTTGTTGATGACGAATGACGACGGTTTCCAGGTGGTAGCAGACGAATATAATATATATATATATATATATATATATATATATATATATATATATATATATATAGTGCCGTCAGAAAGATACATATGTATATATATAGTGATTCGCTTCCAGCCTGGCCAAAGATTTGACAAACCATAATTTTGGCTGTTATTTAATTTGCTACTAAAAGTTGTCAATCTCTAAACTTTAGCTTTGCCAAATCTATGGCAAATTTTATTCGTAAACCAAACAGGCCCATACTTCTGCACTGGCCGGAGCCAGTCACTACTCACTACTAAGTAGCCAGCTAGCAGTCAGTTCTGGTGGACGCGCAACGTAATCAGATGACGTATATGCATTGTCCTTCTAAATACAAATGCCTGTACTCCTCTGTCTTTTTATATTTGTTGCTATTGGGAAAGTGCGGGTCAAACTTTCTTAACTTTGAATCAGTTTTTTAGAAAATATTAGTAATATTTATATCTCTAAATAAATTTATTATAAAAATAGATTTAATGATCAATCTAATAATACTAATTATGCACCATAAACATCAATATTCCTGTATATACTTGGTCAAAGTTGAATTCGTTTGACTTCTTATAAAGTGAGAACCAAGGATAAAAAGGGACAGAGGGAGTATGAACTTGAAACTTATAAGTTCGCTTTAGTTTATTACATATGATCAATCTAAATATACTAATTATATACCATAAATATTAATATTTCTACACATATTTGGCAAAGTTGAGTTCGTTTGTCTCAGGAACTGAGAAAGACAGATAAAAAGCGAGGAAGGGAGTATGAACTTGCGGAAACTTTAAGTTCGCTTTAGTTTATTACATACAATGCGTGCAATGCAAGCTTTGGCCAGGTTATAGCAGTGTAGTGGACTTAGTCAGCACGTACAGCTAAGATTGTAATACCTACTGTACATATACTGTTTCTATATGTGAATTTTGTGTGCATGTCGATAGAACCAATAGACATCAAGATCAGTACAATTTTTCTTTTCCAAAATATTTTCAAGTCTGAACTAATAAAATACTCATGCGGGTGTGTTTTTTTCAGATAGAACCATTTATTTCCAGTGATGACAGGGCTGCGTAGGCTCTCACTACTGGAGACGGCCTCTTTGCCGAGGGCTAGATCTCGGGCACTCGATAAAGGGGGTCTTTGCCGAGGACCAGCCCCAGGAGCCCTCGGCAAAGCTAGGCCCTCGTCCAACAAAAGGCCCTCGGCAAATAAATCTTTGCCGAGAGCCTCGGCAAATATGGCCGGATGGGTCACGGCGGCCACTGGCGTCAGTCTTTGCCGAGTGCCCGCCGTCAGGCACTCGGCTAAAGATTTTTTTTAAAAATATTCTTTGCCGAGGGCAATTGGCCAGGCCCTCGGCAAAGATTTTTTTTAAATATTCTTTGCCGAGGGCCATTGGCCAGGCCCTCGGCAAAGACCCCCTTTGCCGAGGGCCAGGCTAGACCCTCGGCAAAGAGTATTTTTTTTTTTTTGAACCCAGTTTTTTTTGTGCTATAATACACTATTTAAATCTCAATTTTAAAATTTGGGCCAAATTTGACTTTTTTGATATCTTTCCCTAATTTATTTCTTTTCGTTGATTTTTTTCGAATATTTCAAATTTGAACTGTAGGTGGATGGAATAATGCAATTTAGTGATTCGAAAAATGTTATTCATGGTATTTGGTGTATGTTGAGTCCCTATCCACGAACTCACATAAAATTTCGGGCATCTTCTTCACGTAACATGACGAGGAACTTGTCGGAAAAGTGTTTTTAAATTATATAAAATCCATGCGAAGTCCAAAAATCATGAAACTTGTCGAGGTGTCATGTTATCGCATGTGTAGGCTATGCTAAAAATTTGAGAAGGTTTCGAGCAAGTTGTGATATCGGATGCCTAAAACCCAGACATCTAAGACCTTCTCAAATTTTGTCACAACTTGCTCGAAACCTTTGAAAAAGGGCCAAACCGGAAATCGGGCAGCGGCCCAAATTCCCCGCCCACAGAACTTGACGCCGCCGCTGCGCGCCCCACCGTTGCCCCGCGCCCCGCCGCTGCTTCGCGCACCGCGCGGACCGCCGCAGCGCACCCGGTCGCCCCGCAAGCCCCGCAGCCCCACCACCGCCGCTGCGAGCCCCGCCGCCCCGCGCCCGGCCGCCACCGCCACCCCGCGCGCCCCCGGCCCCCGGCCGCCAGAGGAGGAGGGAGGAGGAGCAGGCCATCGGAGGAGCCCCACCGCGCCGCTCGCCTCAACCCGCCGGAGGTGCCCCGCCCTAGCCACGCCGCCCGCCCATGCCCGTCGGCCGGCCCGCCTCGAGGAGGAGGAGAACCTTCGCGCCATCCGCCGGCCACCGGAGAAGGAGGAGGACCCCACGCCACCCGCCAACCCCGTCCACGCTGTCCGCCATGCCCGCCCCCGTTTCGAGCAGAAGGTGGGAGAAAGGGAGGAAGAGGAGAAGGGGAACAGGAGAAGAGAGGAGGCCGAGAAGAGAGGAGGAGGAGGTGCCCCGCCCCGGCCCCTTGACGCCGCCCCGTCCGCGGCCTCTAACGTCCCTCCGACGTCCAGGTATGCCCTTCCCTCGCTTCATGGTGTACAATGCTGGTGAAGGAGGAGGTCTAGGTGGAGGTCGAGGTGGTGGTGGCGTGCAATGGTGGAGGTGGAGAAGGAGGGTAGTGTGTTCGTTGAGGTGGTGGTGGTGTGGTCGTTGTGGTGGATGTGGTGGTGTGGTCATGGTCGTTGTGGTGGATGTCGTGGTGTGGTGGTGGTGGTGGTGGTAGTGTGGTGGTTGTGGTTGTGGTGGTGGTGGTGTGGTGGTGGTGGTGTGGTGGTGGTGGTGGTGGTGGTGGTTGTGGTGGTGGTGGTGTGGTGGTGGTGGTGGTGGTGGTGGTGGTGTGTGGTGGTGTGGTGGTGGTGGTGTGTGGCTATCGGGTGGTGGAGGTGGTGGTGTGTTGTTCCCTTAATATATGGTTGCTATCGGCCATCGTGCTGGTTTTTTCTTGCAGGTTTTGGAAACTTCCCCGTACAGGGGAGGTTCTGCCGAAATTTTCAACTTATAGTATTGTGTTTCTTCTTTTGCAGAGAAGAGCACGTCAGAGGGGACTCGACGACCCTGATCCTCTTCGTCGGTGTTGCGGGTCTGCCTGCACAGCATCGCCTCATCACTACCCCGACTCGCCACTGCCCCGCTGGCCTGACTCCACCACCACCCTAGGTATAAATAAGCCCTCCTCCCGTACCATTGTCTTAGATCACGTAACCCAGTTAGGCGTCTCCCGTCCAAAAGAGATACGGTCGTAGGTATGTGGATCTTTGCATATCTACGACCGTATCTGTTTTGGATTGTCCACGTTTTTTGGATAGCCCGCGGATGCGTAGATGGGTTAGTTTCCATGGTCTGCTCCGGTCCGAGACCGAGTTTCGGCATCTCTTCCCTATTGTTCTCTGGATACACACTCTCCCTGGCAGGACGTGTATCGGGAGAATAGCGGGGAGGTGCTGCCGAAATTCTTTCTTGGAGAGGAGCGGAGCCTGGAAACTAACCTCATCTACGCATCCGCGGGTGGGATTAGGACCTATCCTCACCTATTAGACAATAGGAACACCGCGTAGATGCAATTGATGGTCACAATACTCTGTGATATAAATGTTAAAGGATGGAGGACCGTCAGTGGATGTACACGGGCTGGAGAAGCGGCAGTGACTATGACTATGAATGGGTGAAGGGGACAAATCGTTTCTTAAAACATGCATTTGGCCTAGGAGCAGGAGGACATTCTCTAGTTTGGTGTCCCTACAGCAAATGTGACAACAGGAGAAAGGTAGACGAGAAGACCATGGGTAGACATCTTGTGTTCAATGGTTATACGCCTGGCTACCAGCAGTGGATCTACCATGGTGAAGCAGATCTTATAAGAACGGAGGTGGTGAGAGCACGCCTCGAGGCTTTGGATGATGATGTCGGGGTAGCAGACAAGCTAGATGACGCCCACCAAGCTCACTTCGCTGAACGACGTGAGAAGGAGGAGATGGAGAAATCTGCAAAGGACTTCTACAAAATGTTGCACTCGGCACAGAAACCCCTTCACGAGCGTACAACGATTTCTCAGCTGGATGCGGTTGGGCGCATAATGGGGTTGAAGGCCGAGTTAAACCTGAGTCGAGAAGGCTTCGATAAGATGTTGGCCGTGGTTGGCACCATGCTACCGGAGAAGCACACTTTGCCAACGAACTTGTACGAGGCAGAGAAACTCCTTCGTATGCTTAAGATGCCGTATGACAAGATACATGTTTGTCCGAAGGGGTGCGTCCTATTTAGGAAAGAACACAAGGACACAAATTACTGTCCAAAGTGTAAATCCTCCAGGTACCTGGAGGTATACTCTGGTAATGGTCAGAAAAAACAGCTTTCGATCCCCGTGAGAGTGCTATGGCACCTTCCTTTCCTGCCGATAATCCAACGACTATTCATGATCGAGGAATCCACGAAACAGATGACATGGCACAAAGATGGCAAACGGTACAATCCTGGGAAGATGGTACATCCGTCTGATGCTGAAGCATGGACATACTTCAATGACAAACATCGTGACAAAGCAGCTGAGGCCCGTAATGTACGTGTCGCGCTGGCAACAGATGGGTTCAATCCTTATGGAATGATG